AGAGAGGGAGATTGGAGATTGAGATTGGTTTATGATGAACCTGTGTAAGAACATCAATAAAGAAGCTTGGATCCTGTATAAGCATTTTCCTTATCCATTAGAATATCTGTGTGAGAAATCAGAAAATGCTTATAGTCAAAAGTTACAAGATTCTTATGTTGTGATTCTGTGAAATGACATTAAACTGTGCTAGTCACACTCTTATTTCTTGTTACATTCACTTTCTGTCCTTTAACTCTAGGAAAACAGACTAATTTGGGCACTTTATGATGGATAACATTTCATTCACTAACTGGTATGCAACTCACATAGAGTGTTTTCTATTGTGTGCTCTAAGTCCCTATAAGCTTTGTTGCTCCTTTTGTGACAATGTAATAATCAATATGTACTCTTAGGGGGGGTGACAGGTGATATTTAAGATGATACAACAGCAAAAGAAACCCAAGTCTAGCTCATGCCATGCCCTTCATAGGCTAAAAGAAAATTAGGACAACACATGAACATTGACCAGCAAAGTTGGGAAGTTTATTTTTTGTCCACAAGGTGGAAATATATCTAAACCAAAATCAGCTTGGTGTCTTTTCTAGGAGCTAATGCAAAAATATATATATGTATGTATTTCTTAGTCTGGTATCTTTACTCTTTCCCAGCCTTTATTATTCATTTTAAAGTAAAATATAACTAATTAAATACTTAGGATAGTTTGTTAATCTCAACAGAATGTTCTAATAAATGAAAGTTCAAATTCATAATTTTTTTCACACCATTCAGACCTTAAGATGTTAATCCCCTAATAATAGAAATGAAGTACATTCTAAGTATCTTTTTTTCAAATCAATAGTATTCCTTCTATGATAGTTTCTCAAAATCACAATAAAAAAACAAAAGCTTAATAACATATAACATATACTATGCACTCAAAACATGAAACATGAAACAAAACTTTTTGCCAGTCAAGTAACATCAATTATGTTGGCATTTTCAAATTTCTTTACATCGAAGATTATTTCATCTGTTTATCAATCTTGGCATTCTATACTAGTACAGACCAGTGTAGAGTAAATAAAATGAAATTGTTCATATAGTTACAAAGATGTCACCAGCAGTTACCATTCAGAACACAGATCAATCATGCTCTAAATGGTAATATTCCCTAATTAATTTAACAAATCCCAATGTAAACCATAATCTTAAATTGCCCAAGTATAAATATTGTTACATGATTCCAAGTTCTTTTCCATGCAAACGAGAATAATGAACTTGTTAAAAAGTAAAGTTTGGAGAGCATGAGAAATCTAAAAATTAACTTTATTTGAGGAGGAAACTGAGGAAGAAAAGTACTTCTCCAAATAAAATAATAATTTTACAGGCATACAAATCTTCCTATTCCCTTCACCTAATCAGATATAAGACCTTTATTTTTATGCAATATTTATTTCATTATTTTTAAATTTTTTCTATTGACCTTTGACAAGTTTTGTCCTACAATACCAATTAACTATAAAATTTATACTTTCCCCTGATCAAAGTGTAAAGTTTAAGGTTTACAGGTAGTTTTCCATACTGTCATGTAAAATTTTTACAACGTGGTTTATCAACAGCTTGTAAATGGAGAGTCTATTCTAATTTCTTTTAGGTGACTTTGCTTCCATTTTAAAGTAATTAATTTCTATTAAATCATTCACAGAAAAGATGTTTATTAAGCACTAAAAGAGGTTTAAAAACTGAACATAGATCGATCATTTAAAAGAACTGTGGCCAAAGGTACATGTTAGGGTAGTAGCAGGGTTAGTAACAACAGGTGTCATAGAAACAACAAATTTATTTACAACTCTTAACCTTGAACAAACTGATACACAGGTTGACTATATTTATCTAATTTTCCTTTTTTTTTCTTACCAGTAAGATTGGGTTATTACATGGGGAATGTTCCTTTTTATAATTCCATGTTTCTCTAAATCTTCTATTATTGGCTGTCTTCCCTCAATTTGAGCTTCAGTTGAAGAAAATTGCTTAATATATAGCCATGACTTATCTCTATAATAACTATTCAGAACTTGATCAATACCTTTTCACCAAATCAGTATCATTAGTAGAGTGGGCCCAAAATACAGAATCAATTGCATTCAATTTGAGTACTTCCCCAGCATGGGGTGAAACTGCTATTTTTCCTGTATTACCCTCCTGAACCAGAAAATGCATAGCCACCAAATAAGATGCCTTTTCCCCAGGGAGTTCGAAAAACATCCCCTCCAAATACATAATACAGTAATCCATAAATCACATAGCAGCTCTCTTTCCATCAGATTAACATGTGAATCAAGTAAAAGATCCCAGTCATGACAGATATATAGACCTCTTGGGAGAGAAAGATCACTTGCCAGGAATATACTGGGCATCCTATGGTCTCCCCTATTTTAGCCAGTGGAGACACAAGCAGGATCTCTTTAGAGTCTGTGAAACTCATTTTCCAATTTGTATTTCAGAATCTCTAATTTTCACAGATCTTTTCTCCCCAAAGCACTGGTCAATGAGCAGAGTTCCAGCATGGAGACTTTTTTTTTAGAAAGTCAGCATCTTGTACTTGCTAGGAAGTAGTCCCAAATACCCACAGGAAGTTTGCTAACTGCTTCTCCAGTTCATGAGAATCTTACCTACAATGCAAAATTGTCATGTTGAAATTAACCTATAGAGAAAATCCTTAAAATTATAGACAGTTTATTGAAAATAGGAAAATTGGAGTTTCCAGAATATATGCATGAATATAGGTAATCCACTTGGGACCACAAAGGAGATACAGTTCAAATATATTTTCATTATAGTTAGAACTACTACATTATCTTACAGCATTTAAAAATAAAACTTGAAAAATGACAAAAACTTGCATAATCAGAGAAATTTATACACAATGCCATTTGCACCATATAAAATAAAGGGAACTTTAACAGGATTCCATCTGTAGCATGCAAGTAGTGGAAACTTATTTGTAACACCACATTCAACATGCAGAATAGTGAGAACTCAGGTATCTCCCATAGAGTAACAGGACTTGCATATAATATCCTTCCAAAATGTACATAGTTTCTCCAAAATCTTTTCAATATGTTTCTATAGGTATATGACTACTGTTACCCTTTATCAGGATTCTATCACAAGGGAAAAATTTTACTTTCTGCACTTCAAGATCTATACCGTATTTGAAGATCAATGGATATACTGAGCCTTTCTAAAAGACAGATAATATTTAAATCAAGAAGTTTTATTCTCTTTTTATAAAATTTTGAGGGGAACTGATCTGGAGAAGGGGAATCATTACATTATTATGCCCCTTTTGAAATAGAAATTATTGCAGTGCAATACTGTAATTATAATGTTAGAAATCGCTTAAGCCAAAACAATTCTTGGTCACTCTTGTTGGTAGAAGAGGGAGCTTTCCTGATGTGTCCATTGATAACAGCTCTTAAAGAAAAGAGTGCCAATTTGTAACAATAAGGTACAAATCAGGGCTGGCCATTTTCATAAAGTAACTCCCTTCTCCATGGTTTCTGCTTACAGACATAATGTCAATACACACATGCACACACACACACACACACACACACACACACACACACACACACACATCCAACTACCATTGGATGTCATTGGATGTAAGGATACTATCTGATCTAGCTCTCAACAATAGTGTTAATCACTTTTCTTGCCCAAGAGAATATTCTCTGAGTAGAGTTCGGCAGGCATTTTACTCTCAATTTACTCTCATTAGGCACTGAGTTAGAATTGTCAAACACTTAATTCTTTCAGTGACAAATCCTAGTCACTCATTCCACATCTCATTCTAATTGAATTTGTGTCCTAAGCAGTTCCTAAAGTATATTTGTCTTTGGCAAAGGTGATGGAGATCAGAGCTCATAGTCTTGACACTAGCTAAATAGGGCAACTTATGGAAACATAGCTGTATGTGTATGTATGATGTAGTCTTATAGAATATTGAATATATGTGTAAATATATCTATCTGTATATGTGTATATATAGATATATGTATGCATACATATACACACATATGTATATGTTTGTATTGCTTATCTAATACTAATTTTTCATTTGTGGTTTAATTGATACATAAACTGTTCTTTATTTTTTTTCCATTTTGGAGGTTCTTTCCCCCCTTTATTGGTATCCCCAGCATTTAGTATAGTTCTTAGCATGTAGTAAGCACATTATAAATGTTTCTTAACCATCTAATTTACATGAGAATTGAAGGGTAAGTACTCTGGATAAACACAGATCTAAATTCAGGGTGCCATATCCTTTCTTATTTTTATGCTATCATTATTTTCCCACTCCAATGATCCTCTCATTCTTTAATATATATGTATATATATATATATATATAATATAATATAATATATATATATATATATATATATATATATACATTTATCTAACCATCAAAGGAAGGAATGGAAATGGAAATGTAAATAAAGACAGTGTCTTCCTCTTGTGCCTCATAATTCATAATGGTAACAGTGATACAACTAATTGGAAAGTTTAACTATTCACTTATAGTGAAAGTGTTTGAGTCTCATATCCAACTCATGGCTCTTGAAGAGAAAGGGAATTTGTTCCATCATGAATGGGAGATATACCCGCTCTCAGGTTCCCTTTATGCTTTCCACCAACAAAGAGAGAGACAGCTCTGAAACAACTAGTACTTGTCCTCAGTGATCCCACACTGCTTATAGTATACATGCTACATAGAGCAGAAGTGCTGTTCTAATCGTTATTATAGCTTTATGTATCATTCCCTTTTCTTATATAACACTGACTACCCTGATCTTCCATTGCCTGAAAGCCAGGTGTGTAATATTTTACCCTTCCCCCCCAGAGTATCCCAGTACCCTTAAGGGTTTTGGGGGAGTGTAGGCTGTATTGCTGGCTCCAGTGCCCACAAATAAAGTTCCAAATAGTTTTTACAAAGAAACATCTGCTTCAAAGATGAAAATGACACTTTATTTCTAACACCACCACATCAGTACCTGGGGAGAGGAAAGGCATTAGGCTTAATTCTTATATAGCACAGTCTGTTGAAGTCTAAATATCTTCTTGGGCTCAAATTTCAGGCACCCTGGTTCTCAGGGCTTCCTTGCTGGTCTAACTGGCTGTAACACCCCACCTGGAATCTTGGCTGTGATTACTGCATGAACCTGAAATTGAGGACAAATAAAACAAAAAATAAATAAAACAGAAACAAAAACACCACAATGACACAGGGCTTAAAATGAGAGAGAGGGGAAGGTTTCTTCCTTCTTGTTTTAGTTAAAGAATTCAGGAGAGAATAAGACTATCCCAGTCTGGCAGTCTTAAAGATAGTGCTAGCTCTGGCTATACAGACAAAAGGACTAGTCCCACCCACATATTGGGGAAATTCAGAGAAGCAAAATGCCTCCATGTTAGGTGATTTGGGCCTATACAAAGTAACCTCTCATTCAAGCTTACAATCATAGACCTTTCTGAATCTACAGATAGACTCCCATTCAAGGAATATACCACTGAATAGCTCTATAGACAAGAGGAGAATATTGAGTTCAATTAGTGATTATTTATTAATTGTTATGAATGCAATACTAAGCTTGATACTATTGCAGATGCAAAAAGCATATACCTCCAGGGCTTATAATTTCATTGAGAGCCCAGAACACAGAGTGGGAAACAACAGAAGACAATAGAAGATTTTGCTCAAATGAGTGGTTCTACACTGTGGGATTTCTTAGTGATTGAATTAATCACCAGAATATTTGTAGGGAAGAGCCTGAGAAGAGACAAGGAGTTATAAGAACTCACTATGTGCTCAAGGGATAGAAATGTGTCTAGTTTGGCTATGGAATGCATGGAGGAGAAGGATGCAAATTAATGCTGGAAATATAAATTAAGGGGGTACTAGGTCATGGAGAGCTTTGATTGCTAGGCAGTGGAATTTGAACTTGACTCAGGAGGCAATAGGGGAAATAAAGATTTCTGACATGACCAGATCTAGACATTAAAAAAAAAAAGACCAAATGAATGGGAATGGGAAGAGTAGCCATAGCAAGATATGTGAAAAGGATAAATATCATTATGACATGTAATGTTAAGAAATCATAGAAATAGATAGAATAGCTTCCTTCTAATATCTGAAAGAAAATCATGTGAAAAAGGCATTAGACTTGCCTTTTTGATTTCTGAATTTGTAAGCGCTTAGTAAATGATTTTTCTAATTTTATCTAATCTTCAGAGGACAGAATTAGAGGCAAAAGGTAGACAATACAAAGAGGTCAATTAAGGTACATCCCATTGTGGGGGATTTTTGTTTCTTTTATTTCTTATTTTTAATTGTCATTTCTTTTTTTATTTTACTTAATTATTTGCTTTTTAAAATTGATATTTTGTATTTCAGTTGCTAGGTTTCCTACACTAACAGTGATCAAGTTTAGATAGGCCTTTGAGAACTTAAAACTAGAGGAGCATTACACAATTGTGTATTGAAGGGAAAGTCACTGTAAATACTAGGGACGTTCAATTATGGAAGGTCTGGGTCTTTATGTTTGTATTTGTATTATATTTATTTATATTTATAGGTGTCTCCATATACAAGGTGCAAATATACCTATTAACAAATTTGAACATGATAGACAATGGCATGATTACACCTTGGAATGCCCTTGTTTTCAATTTTTGAAAGGGAGAGAAGTACAACTTAAAGATACAGATATACTTTTATCTATTCATGCTATTTTTCATGAAGCCTTTAAGGGAACCATATGGCCATGTGAGGAAAGGACCCACATGGCTCCAAAGATGGCAGCAATCAGAGGCATAAACAGAGTGGAATACAGATTTTGGGCCAAAGCGTCATCCACAAGAATGCAAGATAATAATTAGCAAGTTTGGAATAGCAGTGGTCAAATGCCTGAAGAGTCCCAGGATGTCAGTTTTCTAGAGAGAAAAGGAAGAATCTCATTGGACTGAGTAGGAGCCAGAGTCAAAGATTAGCAGGGAACAGAGCTGTGACAAGTTCAGAAAAACCCAGATGTCTGCCTCTACTGGCACTTTGCACTTCTGTAGGTGGGCTGTAACTATAAATGTCTTCAGAAATTTGTGGCTTACTAGAAGGAGAAGAGTCAGCTATTTATTGATATGGAGTGTTTTCCCTTTGGGATTAGGGCTCAATGTAAGAGAAGATCAAGAGAAGATGGAGTCTCATTAGTGAAAGAAAGAAATTTGTTTTGACTCTTTAAGGCCTCAGGTGTCAGTCCTCTGTATTTTACATTTCTGGTTGTGTGAAGTAATGTCTTATAGTCAATGTTCTTCCTCGCACTTTGCATGAGAACAACCCTTTGTGCAGAAATATAAACAGGTCACATTTATATTTTTTAAGGGAGAATTGCCAGGGGAAGCAACATGAATGATTTTTTAAGTCTTCAATAATGAAATAAATCTCTGCAAACCTAGAACTTTGATTTGGAGCTACAGGTTACTTATGGTTTGGATTCATTTCCTTAGAGGTCCCTTCAAACCCTGATATTCTATAACAAGAAAAAAAGAGAGCCTACACACCGAAATATGATTGTCAGGAAGAGAGGGTCCCATCACAGTAAGTGAAGAGTTCTGTTTTGGACACTTGCAATTTAGAGGTACCTGATGATGTACAGCATGTGGCTGAAAATAACACACTAAGATTTCAAAAGTCGCGGTTGAAGATACAGATTTTAGAGTCATTTGCCTATTTGAAATTGTATTAATAGTAAATGTCTACGAGAGAGTGAGAATATAGATAAAAGAGAGCTAGGTGGCACAATGGATAGTACTGCACTTGGAGTCAAGAAAGACCTGAGTTTCAATCTTTTCTCAGACACTTACTGGCTGTATGACTCTGGACAAGTTATTTGATTTCTCTTAGCCTTATGTTCCCCATCTGTTAAATGAAGATAACAATAGCACCTACCCCCAGAGGTATTTTGAGCGCCAAATGACATAATGCATACAAAGTGCTTTGCAGACCTTAAAGTCCTATATATTTGTTGTTGTTGTCTTTTATTATTATTATTATTATTATTATTATTATTATAGAAGTGGGGGACAAAATTATTTTGAACAATAATTTTTCCCACTTAATAGTATTTTTTCTAATTACACATAAAGAAAGTTTTCTACATTCACTTTTATAAGATTTTGAGTTCCAAATTTTTCTCCTTCCCTCCCTTTCCTCCCCCTTCCCCAAGATAGCAAGCAATCCTATATAGGTTATATATGTACAATCAGATTAACCATATTTCCACATTAGTCATGTTGTGAAATAAAAATCAGAACAAAAGAGGAAAACACAAGAAAGTTAAAAAAAAAAAGAAAAGTGAAAATATCTGCATTCAAATCTGCATTCAGACTCAATAGTTCTTTCTCTGGATGTGGATAGTATGTTCCATCATGAGTCTTTTGGAATTGTCTTGTATCACTGTATTTCTAAGAAGAGCTAACTCTATCACAGTTGATCATCCCACAGTGTTGCTGTTACTGTATACAGTGTTCTCTTGGTTCTGCTCACTTCACTCAACATCAGTTGAACAACTATTTTTGAAGTGAATGGAAGTAAAACCATCTGTACAATTCATCACTTCCTATTGTAACTTCAGTTTTTTGCAGTGTTAAACAAATGAAGACAACTCAAACATCACTTTCTGAAGGAATTCATTTTATAATTCTTCCCTCTCCCACATCCCCAATTACTAGGGCCTTCTTTTTCATGATTAAAGTCACTACATAACTACTTTGTATGTACCTTGTGTATACTTATTTATCTAAAAGTTATCTCCCCCATTAGAATGTAATCTCCTTGAAGACAGAGATTTTTTTTTCTTTTTCTTTGTATCCCTAGATCTTAGCAGGGAGCCTGACACATAGGAAGCATTTGAGTTGATTAAATATTGATTAGTTCAGTTCCTACTTGTTGAATTAGTAGTATTTTCTTATACATGTACCTGGTACCTACTTGCATATATGTATGTGAACCAAAAGTGTATGTATGAAGTGAGGGGGTATAGACCTTTGATTTCATTGGTGACGGAAAATCTCAACCAATGAAAATCAGCAATTCTTCTGCAATTAATAGTCTACAAAGTTACCTGAGGCACTGAGAGTTTAAATAAATTGTCCAAGGTTATACAGCCAGTATTTCTCAGAAGCTAGAAATAATTGGATCTGGATCTTTCTGAATCCCAGGCTACTTCTACCTCTACCCATTATGCAACTCAACTATACATATACATGTATGTATGTATGTGAACATTTTGCAGATATACTCATAAGTGTGTGTATACATAAATGTATGTATGTGTACATATTCATACATACATACAGATACAAACACTATATATAATATAACATATTTTATGGTCATAATAATTTATTTATGTGGTTACATTGTAGAATGATTACACTGGTCATAAGTCAACAGTCAATAAGGATTTATTAAGTATCTACAGCATACATAGCCCTATACTTGTTGCGGTGAAGGGAAACAAAAAGATAGAAACATAGTCGCTGGAATGAAAAGAAACCATTTACTAAAAGGACCACGAATAATTACAGAAAATGACATTTCAGTAAGCAAAAAGAATAAAATTAAAATACCTGAGGGTAATCAGTTAGGAGGAGGAAAGTGGGTGGGGTAAAGAGGTAGAGATTTAATCAGAGAAGGTTGTATGCTACAATTATTGGTCAGTACAAGAAACTGCCAACTTTGATTGTAAGCAAAGTACTCAGTGTTAGACTTAGTTGGCTATTGCTAATTACTGTGGAGCATTCTCTCCACCTGGGGCATTGTGTAAATTGGGATTCTACTTCTGGATTCCTTAGGTGTTGCCTAGGCAGCCCCCAAATGGTCCCACCCACCTACTTACTCACAGCATGGGAAAGCTTTCTGTGCTTCCTGGGGGAGGAAATTAATTCATATTATGAGGAAAGAATAAAACCTCTAAAAGAATGTTGGCAACAAAATACTGTGACATAACTCCTTTCTGTTGTCACAAGACCTAAGTATTATGTTGACAGAGGAAGGATAAAGTACACTTTGTTCTCAGAAAGAATCCAGGAGCTTAATAAAATTATTTTTTTCTGTTGTTGACCAAAGGACAATAGGCATTTGAGAAAATTCAGTCTGTCAACAGACTGT